CAAATCTTCAATTGTGTTGGGCAGTGGTCCTTGGGTCGCAATGTATGCTTTTTCCTCACCATCATATCCCTTAAAAAACAAAATTATTTTCAAATTGAATATTTCTAAAAAAAAAAAAAAAAAAAAAAAAAAAAAAAACTCATCGAGGACAATTGATTTTTACCCTGATGTAATTTGCATTGATATATGCATCCAGTGAAAATTCTTCCTTCTTATTTAATTTAACTCTCGTTTTTTCATTCGGTAATATGGACTGATATCTATTTTTGGTACCGCAACCCGTGACTAATGATTTTTCAGGATGATTTAAAGGAATTTCCCAAAATTCTTGGTGTAAATTTTGAACATTTTTCAAACAATTTTTTATATCGTTTCGCGAAAGAACGTTGCCCGCTGATAAAAGAAATTCTTCGGACATGCTAAACAGTAATTAATTAAAATGATGTAAAAATCATTAAATTTAACAAAAAATTAAAAAATAATACCATTCTCGAGTTGGGGAAACAAAACGAATTTTATCATCGAATAACACTTGAGGTAAATCAATTGTAAGACTAGCACTTGATCCCCTTCTTTCTAAAAGTCCTTTCGCTTTAACAACTTCAACTTTTTTTTCAAAAACTTCTTTTTTCTCATTTAAAACAACTGGCACTCCATCATCTCCTGAAAATTAATAGAATCATTTTTTACATTTTAAAAAGAGAGAGAAAAAAAAATCCAAATAAATCTAAAATTACATAATCTTACCAGGAACATTTACTGTTCCAAAGTCTATGTTATTAGAACTTTGTTTATTTATATTAATAACAGTGTGTCCCACCCAATTATCTTGCAGTGATGAATTCGGACTTGGAAAAGTAAATGAATTACTGTTGAGTTGTATTTGATTGTCATCTAATACCACTATTTTTTTAGTTTTACTTTTACTTTGAATCATTTGCCTCCTTAACCATAATAATATCTTTTAAAAAAAAAAAAAAAAAACAAATTATTATGAATGTAACTTGAGTTTTATTATAATTTTCAGCAAGTCTTTAAGTATTTCACTCAAAGCTAAAATTACTGTTTATTATACCTAATATTTAAATTCATGTACTTGAAATTACTTAATAAAATCATATCAGAGGATTAATATTTAAAAAAGAAAACTTATTTAAATGTAAACTTACAGCAAATGCAATGGTAAACACTCCAACAATTACAATTATTACAATAAAAACAAATAACTGATAATTTGTCCACCAGTTTTGCAAAGGAACAGCACTGGGCCAAATAACTATGTCATATTGGCTATTCTGAGGTTCAATTTCAAAATTTTCATTTTTCAAAACTGTTATATTCAAAAATTTGTTTTTTGGCATGGCATCCATTTCAAAACCATTTACATTATTGGCAATTATGTTATCCTCTAAAAAAAAAAAAAGCATATAAAATGAATCAGATGACACAATATTCTTATTATTAAAAAAAAAAAATTCAAATTTTTTTTTTTTTTTTTATTATAATAATTTTATTTATAATTTGATAGGAATTTTTACTTACTGCTTAATACCACAATAACAATTTTCTTTGAGATGTAAATTTTTTTATTTACTTCTATCTTAAAATGTTTATTTAGTTTGATAAACTTTTCATTCAAGTCTTTACATGAATAAACTTGATGTTTCATTATAAATCCATTGATTAAATATAATTATAGCTGTTTCTATTTTTCAAAATTACAAAGGCAGGTGCAAGGCTAAAAATAATAATGATTAGAAAGTTTTAAAACCATCAAATTTATTTTTAATAAAATTTAAGAATTAAAAATTGCATGTGAACGTACTTTATTTAAAGTTGTATGAGGTGATTAAATAATAATTTTTGCGTTTAAAAAAATAATTTAGTTTTTGGGAAACACATTATTAATCAGTGAATTTTCTAATACAGTTTTAATAATATTTAACACAACCAAATAAACTAATTAATAATATTTTAAAAATTACACTAAAATAATTATCATCTATAGTATAAAACAAACTTAATACACAATTGAAAATTATTTCAAAGTTACTAAATAAAAAATAAACTCTAAGTTAACTTTAAAACTTAAAAAAATATATTATCTATTGTAATTTATTCAACCATTAACTAAACAATAAGTTACAAGCAATTATTTACAGGCCCACCTAAGCAGAATATTTTGCTACGTCTACGTCAAATAAAAAGAGATTATTATCACCGTGAGATTTATAAATTTAAAACATTACTGAAAACATTTTATTTATTTGACATAAATTCTTTATATCCGAAGTTGATTTTATATTTTAGTTAACGACGCCATTACTTAAGTTATTTTGGTTTCCACAGCCTCCTAAATTATATAACTTTAGCGGGAGAAATGCATTCAATTATTTAATTAACGAATTTTTTTATTAATAATTTTTAATTGTTTTTTTGTTTTAAAAAAAATAGCTTTTAATTTTATAAAAAAGTGCTTTATTATCATCGGATAAAACTTAAATTTTTTAAATTTGTGAAGTTATTTGGTCTTATTACGAACGCAATAGGTAATACAAACGTTTCTTTTTAATAGTTTCTTTAAAATGTTACTTTTACCACGGTAATGATTTTTTATTTAATAAGAGGTAACTTCAATTAACTTAAATTTATTACGACTTTAAATATTTTTTAATAAAATATCATCATAGTTTTAAGTAAATATGAAAAGTAAAATTTTCTAGGAGTATTCTTTTGGAAAAAAAAAAATTTTCTATATCTTGTTGTATAGTGTATATTTATTAAACTATAGCTTTGGTACAGTTTGGTAAGGTCATTGATATTAATATTATTTACTTATTTTAAAATTATACAATCACATTTTTTAATCACAAGAAAAATAGTAAAATTATAGAAATAAAAAAAAAGTTCTTTTTTTAAGTATAGAAAAGCATTTTGATCAAATTTTTCTTAGTTGTGTAGCATCTTACCCTTTGATTATTTTTATTTGTTTAAGCATTCTATTATATAATCTGTGGAAACTGAATACATTTTTTTAAAAATTGTTAAATATTTATCAAATTTTAAAGCTTTAATTAAATTATTGTAAATGGCTACCATGAAAAATATTTGGCAAGAAGTGGCATAACCACGCTTAATGCTCCTAAGGCAAACACCATTGTTTTTAAATTTGAATATTCTTTATGTAATGATTCAGATAAAATGTCAACTTGTTTAATTATTACATATGAGTCATTACTACTTAAACTGTAATTTGTTTCTTCATTACTAACATTAGTGCTTGAATCGGTTTCTATTTCGAATAACCTAGAATTCATTTTATTTAATAATTTTTCTAATTCTACATTCTTATCACTATTTTCATTTAAATTTAAAGCCTTTATTTGGTCTCTTAAATTATTAAAAAATATTTCATTTTTTTCTATTAATAATTTCAAATTGTTTAAAAGCTCAGAATTTGAGGAACTACTTATAAGCTCTTTTAATTCTTTTATTTTAAAATGATTATTTATTGATGTGCCAACAATTCCTAAAAGTGTTCCCAAAACGGATCCAATTACAGACCAGTATTTTGTTCTTTCTCTTTGAGTCCTTTCTTGCTCGTGAGAAAATTTTACGCTATTACTTAAATTTACAAATGCTTCTCGTTCATTTTTTTCCGCTGCTGAAAAATTTTCCTAAAATTGTAAACAAATTTTTTATAATATTAATAATTTTATATGGAATGTATTGTTATATGATACACTAACTATTGCTTTATAGAATTTTTCAAAAATAATGTTACCTTGATATTTTTTTCTTCCTTCAGTAATCTGTGTTCAAGAGTAACCAAATGAATATATCTATCTTCTCCTCTATTCGTTGTATCTATTTCAGCATAAACTTCTTTGATTTTATTTTGAATTTCGTTTAATTCGTTCAAAGCGTTTCGTCGTACTTCTTGTGCTTTCTTTAAATTTTCTTCTTCTTTAATAACTCTACTTTGAGCACTTAGAACATCATTCATTCCAGTGAAATCGTCATACCATTTCATAAAATGACTAGTTTTTTCTTTTACAAGTTGTTTCCCTTTTTCAAAATAAACACTTCGTGACAAGTAATGTTTAGAAATTTTTAAATTCGAATATTTGCATTGCAATTTTGACGATTCATAAGTTGATATAAATCCCGAATAATTTTTAATTTTTAAACCCATTGCATGTTGTTAAAAAAAAAAAATATATTGATAAAAAAAATTCATAACCATAAATTTTTGGAATTCTTTTTATCGGGGCCTTTTATCAACCGCTTATTTTTGAACTTGCAGCTTTTATATTACCGTCTATGGTTTTAGAAGCCATTTTCCATAAACGCCGCCAAAAAACGTTAAAAGTCGAAATCGTGTTTTATTCATTTTTAGTTGGTTTATTAAACATTTTAGTAGTTTTCTTATCATCGACATAATAAAATAAAATAAATGGGCAAGTAAAAATTTTATTTATAAATCAATTTTTAAAAATTCTAATCGTTATTTAAAACTTTACAAGTAAAATAAGAAGTATTTTTTCTTCTAACGGATTTTTTCCAATTATAAAAATTTTTTTAAAAAAAATTAACGATTTCTTTTTGGAATTATCAAATTTGGGAAAAGGAATATTAGATAGAAATTTAATTTAAAAAATTAAATAAGTTTGAATGTTTTAAAAAAACATTCAAATTAAAATTTTTATTTAATTTAATTTTTTTTTGTTTTAAATAATGTGTAACTTATGGCTAAAAATTGAATATATATATAAACACATAGATGTCACAAAAAAAAAAAAAAATACTTAATGCGAATAATTTTAATATTATATAACAATAATATTACCTTTCTTTGGTGTAATATGTAAATCATCAAAACAAAATATAAATTTATATATTTTAATAATGAAAAAAAAGAAAAAAAAAAATTTTTCTCTAAGATTTTCTAATGTGATGTGTAAGCAGCAATAATTTTTTCAATAATACAGTAAATTAATTTTTCTTATAGTAAAATAATATCTAAACATGAATTTATCGTGGAAAAAGAAAAACAATAATTTATACATTTAATATTTTACATTAATATTTTTTTTTTTTTGAAATTTTACCTTAATTAACACTAATTTTCTTATTTTTACATTTTAAATAATAAAATTATAATAATTGAGACATATTTAAAGCTCATTACTTATTCTAACAAACTGTTTTTTTTTTTTTTTTGAAGTAAATATATAATTACGTTTCGAATTAATTCACAAAAATTGATATATATATATAAACATAAGTTTTGTTTATTCATCACAGTCTCTGTAAAAATGTATATTGTATTCCAGGTACAACGAACCAAGGCCTTCTTTAAGGTTGCATGGATCCTAAAATACCAACAAATTTTTTTTTACATTATTTTTATTAATGTTTTTTTTTTTTTTTTTCTTTTCAGGTACATAATAATAATCGTACGTACGATATTTTCAAATGTTTCTTTCGTGATTACTCTGTATTTAACAATAATGGCCCATTGATTAGCTATATCAATATAAAAAACATTATTTCCATCTATTAAATTTGGAAAATTAAAGGATTTTTTATGGCACAAAAAATCACTCGAAGGCATTATTTTATCGCAGAGTTTCACTACTAAATCTTGTTTTAATCTACAATTACGAAAAAGGTAAGTTTATTATTTATTTATTTATTTACCATTAAATTTAAATTATTTATTTATTTATTATTCTTACTGAAATTGAACTGCTATGTAATTATCAGGCATGTATTTACTCAAACGTATGTGATAACTTGAATTTACAGCATTTCTATCAACGCAATGTGTGTAATCGTTACTGGAAAAAGTGCAAAATTCAGGTCCAAGACTTTCGTTAATATTTTGTGCAAGGATTCTCACTGAAACTTCATTATTGTTACTATTACCATTCGAATACCAGCCATCTGTAAGTATTGCATTTTTTTATTTAATTTAATTTATAATTCGAAAGGTATTTATTAAGGATATTTAAAAAATTTACCGTTAAGCAAATACACTTCGCCATTTTCATCGTTTAATTCATCCGGAGTTCTTTTTCGCCTTAGTAAACCATCATCAATTATTTTTTCATTTCTTTTGAGAACTTTTTTAAAATGTTTTGATCTGGATGCTGTTTCTTTATTGTAATTAATTTTTTTCTTTTGATCGATCAAAGGAGTTTCAATCCCATGTGAATTTTCAACTACTTGAAATAATATTACGAGTCACGTTATTATTATTATTATTATTATTTTTTTAATTTTTTTAGTATTTACCTACCGTCATTATTTTTATTCGATTGTAAAAAAAATTGAGAATTGTCTCCCAATGGATTTTCTTGTGTGATTTTAGCAGAATCGGATATTTCAACTTTTTCTTCGCTTGAATGAGTATTATCCAAAAGACAACAGTACACCTAATTTAAATAAAATACTTTTAACGGTTTTTTTTTTTTTTTTTCACAATAAGTAATCTAATGAAAAATATATAAATTAACAAACTTGACAGGGTGAAAAACTTCCATCGTTATAATAATTTGTAGGACTTGAATTACCACATTCTGGTGGTTTACCCAAAACCCTATAATTTTTAATCGATGATAAATATGATGAAGAATCTGCTTCTAGGGCTGTTGCTTTTCGTTGATGAGGAATGTCTTTAACATAACTGCAAATGAATATAATATTTTAATTTGTATTTATTTTAAAACTAAAAATTATGCGAGTTTTTCTCATTGTGCGATACCTTTGAAACGACGTCAGTTGAGATGTTACGACATTTTTATCTTTGTTATAATAATTTTTAGCAATTTGATGAAATGTTTTATTACCATCTTGTAGTTTGTTATAACTCGTTATGTGTGATTGCCTGTGACCACCAAATTCGTTCCTGTAATTATTAATTTCATGACAGCGTTTGTTCTTTCTTTATTTTCGAATTTTTTTTTTTTTTTTTTTTTTTTACTTTAGGGAGGCATCGCACTACCCATAAAATTACTTTTTAACATCGTAAATTTTAACTTACCAAACAAAATGACAATATAATCCATGAAGACTGCGTAAATTTGGGGGGGGGAAAAATTTTATTTTTAGTTTTATTTATGTCAAATCAGAATTTTAATTTTAATTTGGTTATTAGGTGATAATTTGTTAACTTATAATCGATACTTACTTGATAATGTCATTTCTTTTTTGTATTTCTAAAAAGTATAAAGTAGCCATGGCAATCAAACACAAAGCCAACATGATAACAATGCAAGCAATCGCTATTTGGATGACTTTGTTGGTGCAATATTTTGGATTGGAAAATAACATTATTTTATCCTTTTTATTATTCACTTGATTTTTACTCGATGATTTAAACGGAGGCGTCATCTTGCTAGAAACTGTAGGAAAAACCGAAATTAAAACAAAGAATTTTTTCAATAATGTAAATTTCTATATATTTTTCACCTGTTGAAATGCTCGAATTCGATTTAAAACTCTCGGAATTTTTCAATTTAGCCAATTTCCTGTTCATTTTTTCAACTCTTTCGATTCTTTTACCCAAATGATCCGTCACTCTACATAATTCTTTCACGGCTCCGACATTTTCCATAAATATTCTTTCCTATTGATATAATAAATGCATCATTTAATTTTTATTTCGCGCCTTTTTTTCAAATTTTAAATTCGAATAATAATTTTTTAAATGGTTTTTACCTTATTGACAACCAAAAAATTTTCAATCACTTCGCCGTTGGGTAAAATGACGTCACCACCTTTTTGAACGGCATCCGGTAAAATCCCTTGAATTTCTTGAGCAATGACTCCGGTATCTTCTTTGATACCAACTTCTTCAGCAAAACCTGTCGCGTATCTATATTTAACCACTCTTATTTGTTCAATGTTTTTCAATTGCTCTCTCGTATTGCACTAAAATTTCAATTAAATTATTATTATTATTTTTTGAAAAAAAAAAAAAAAAAAAACATAATCAAATTTAATTTTACCTCTTCGACTTGTAATTTAGCTCTTAAATCACTCGGTTGTACTATGTGTCCAGTAACTTTTAAATTTCCGTGAACTACTAATGATTCATCCGGTCTGTCTGTATTTATTCCAACTTTTCCAGCGTGATATATGGACTCCGAAGTGTGACCCTTTTGCCAACATAATTCAACATCGGATTCAAATTGACCGGGATTCGAAGCCTGGAAAAAAAATAATACCGAAAAAATAATAATAATGATATTTTTTATAAATCGATTAAGGAGGATTAAACTTACTCGTACTATGATCCTTTCGGAAGCATGAGATACGATTGGATAATTGTTGTCGATTGTATGAGCGTGAAGGCCTACGACTAAATAAAAATATCGTTGATCCGGATTTGGTTTTCCCTTTTTTCTCATGTTATTTGATGTCGTTTCAGAAAAATGTAATCTTCCAACGGTGACTTTTGTCACTTGTTCGGTTTGAAGTTCGACACTGTTTCAAAGATCATTTAAATAAATATCTATCTTAAATATTTTTGAAAATTTCCAAAAAAAAAAAAAAACATACAGAACGGGATGAAAGGGTTTTTTACTACGATCACTTTGCGATTGTTCGACTTTTATCGTTTGTGTTGGAGATTCAACTTTGACTCCGTAAAAATGAAGGTAAAAACTTGAAATTTTTTTCAAACCTTCGGGAGTTTTGACAAATTGTGCATCTCCCAACAATTGACTGTGACATGTTATCTGAAATTTTTAATCCGACTGTGATTTCCGATGATAATAATAATAATAATAATTTTTTTGTACGCAGTTTGTTTCTCACCTGAAAATGATTTTTCTTTTGACATACAAAAGCATCGTCAGCATTTGAAAAATTAAATCCTTTATCAGCATCGACGCGATAATGAGGAACGGATCTGTAAAAGAAGTTAAACATAATCCAACAAACAAACAAACAAACAATTAAAACAACAGAATGAAACGTACAATTCTTTTAAAT